CGCGAGAGCGGAAAATGCACTTCCCAGTTTCGAGACTGGGAAATGAAGAGGTAGGCGAGCGGCAATGATTTTCTCGTTCACCAATCGCGCGCGAACGCAATTAACACGACGGCGTTATCGCGAGGTATATTCGTGTTTACGAGCCGCCGCTGCGAAGCCGCCTCGCATGAATCGACGATCTCCGAGCTCACCGCGCCGACCTCGGTCGAATAGAGAAGACTGTAGCCGTCGCGGGGAAGTTTTCGTGCAAGTTGTTTCGCGAGTTCGTTGAAGTGCGCCGCGACATCGGAGTGTACATCCCACCCCCCTTCGCGGACGCCGACTCCGGAGTGACGCTCTTTCGCGACGTTTCTCGACCGGACCGATCGACCGAATGACTTCCCCAACGGCGCTCCTCCCGCCGGCGCTTCCGCACGCGCGAGGAACCAACAAGTTCACGTGCTTCCTCGCGAGTACTCGGGCGCACGGCCAGACGGACACACGCGCTCTCTCTCTCTCTCTCCGCCCTCCCTCTCCTCCCGCCGCCCTCGCCGGGTCTTCCCCCCCGTCGTGCGCTCACGCCGCACGTGAGTACGCACGCGAAGACTTCTTCATCCGTTCCCCGCGCGTTCATTCACAGTTCACAGTCAGTCAGTCACCAGCACACCTCCGCCGATCAGCTGATCCCGCCGCCGCCGCCGCCGCCGTCGCCGCCGCCGCCACCGCCGCCGCCGCCACCAACGACGACGACGACGTCGGCGGCAGCAGACTGCGCGTCGCCAACCCTCTGCCCTCCTTCCCTTCTAGACTTCGCGCTCCCCCTCCCACCCCGCTCCTCATCCACTGCCACTTCCTCCTCCTCTTGCCGCTGCTACTGCTGCTGCTGCTGCTGCTGCTGCTGCTGCTGCTGTTACTACTACTGCTGCTGCTGCTGCTACTGCTACTACCGCTGCTGTCCCCTGAAAACCCCCTCCCCACCCCGGTATGGACGATCAGCTGACTGGGAACTGTCAGTCGCCGCCAGCCGTGGGCCTGCGAGCCCACGTGACACACGCCGCGGCTCTTTCGCCGCGAGGCGGGCTCCGGACTCTCCGCTCGGTCCCGCGGAGCGCAGCAGCCGAACGCGAGATGACGAATTGTGCTTGTCGCTTCCCTCGAGCAGCGGCGATTCGCGGCCAACCCGAATGTCGCACGGTCAGATTTATCTAATTTAGACAGCGTCTTCCTGAATCAATGGCGAAACCGCAGAGATTGCCGGCGCTCTGATGGCGGGTCGTGGAAATGCAAATGTGAAATAGAACCAGCGATATTTCGGGTGCGATATAAGCTAGCGATGGAAAATGGGCAATTCGGACCGCTGAGAGCTGACGTTCTTTAATGCCATCTTCAGTTGATCGGGACTCGCGTTACGTTTATTTAAATAATATTTTTTTTATGGGACTTCACAAGGGATGAAATATTCACGCCGATAAAGCTCGGGCGTTTCACGTAATTTAACGATTGTTACAACAGCCACGTTCAGTGCTGTCGGCGGGGATCCGTTTACATTGGCGATAATCTGATTTTGCGTAATGAAACACTCGTATCGGAAGAGAATAAATTCTCAAATTACAAGCTTTTTCAGCTCTTTATGAATTGACAAGTATAGTATTTCCAACTGCGTCACTTGGTTCCGCGCAACGGTTCTGTCTTCGGTCTCTCTTGCAAATCAGATTAGTTTCGGGTCAATAAATTTTGATAATATACGGTATCGCGAGAAATATATATCACCTTGTACGTCGCGTAAAAGGCGTTTCACCGGTGAGAGATATAATTCAAGCTGCGAGATTCTATCGAACGATCGAAACCTTCGAGATTCAGCGCGCAGTGGCGATACGTATTTCTGTTTGTTGTTCCACTCGCGCTCCATCGATATCGCGCAATGATATCATCGCGATTCTCATTGTAATCCTCTCCGGGATTCGCTCCGCTTATTGTAAAAGTGCATGCATAATCGACTCGTGGCGGTTCTCGCGGCGATACATCGCGATTAGTATCACCACTCGAGGAAGCGCTTGCCGCTCGGAATTCTAATAACATTCGCTACCGAACAATCGCACGGCAAGGCGGCGGCGGCGGCGGAGTGGCGTCGCGTCCTATTTATGCATAAACGATCGTCGCATACATTAACGTTGCGCGGCGCTAGGTAATCCATATAAATTCTGCCGCGCGAGTGAGGATTTCCTTGCGCAAGAGAGAGAGAGAGAGTAG